CCTTATGACTGTCAAAGTCAAGAGAAACACAAAATTTGGTCAGACTTAGAATATGGGTCTTCAAAAAAAATTCCCTCCTGGCCTTTCAGGGCTTCCGTAGGAGGCTTCTGCAGCTGAGTGAAGGCTCTGCCTCAAAGCTTTAATTCTGTTTCTATCAGCAACAAGCAGCTGTTTTCAATCAAAAAGCTCTGATAAATTATCTGTATAGTTGTCTAGGACTGCATGGCAACCAAGGTTAGCCACTAGTAATAAGAGAGGCGCTGAAAAGGACGTTAATGTGACGTGTATTTACTGTGTGGAGAGAGAAATGATTCATGTGGCTCCCTGTCTGGCTGGATGCACTAATTAGTTAATATTTGCTGATTATTTGTTAAGATAAGAACACGACAATGTCTTTTTTTATTGTGGCACCGCGGAAGTGATCAATAAAATCAATTCAAAACTGCTCAGAACAAATTGAGTTCTAAGGAGCCACGTTTTGAAAAACGCCTCTAATGAAGCGATTAATTAGTGCCAAATCCATGCTGACCTGGTAATGGGACTTTAGAAGAAAAACCTTTTAAATTGAGGTGTGTTTTTTATCAGCTACTGAACAGAAAAATCGTCAATCTTGTATGAGTCGTGACTCATTCTGTGCGTGTCTGAAGATGGCTCTAATTGATTTTTTTTATTTGGAAAGTTACGTTTTTTAAATCATAAATTTTGGTTTCAACTCCTGGTTGGGATCTTTCTGCACGACCTTTCATCCAGACTAAAAACATGTATTAGTTTACTCAAAATTACAACTGTATTAGGGCCATAAAATGAGTTTTCTTTTAATTATGATAATAAAGTCATAATATTATGACTTTAGTTTTGTAATATTATGACTTACGGAAGAGGATTAGGGCCACAAAAAAAAAGGAATTCTGACTTTTTCTCAGAATTCTGAGAAAAAAAGTTTTGGAATTACTTTGGATTCTCATTTGACTTATCGTGATCATGTACAAGTCTTAACCACTAAGTTGAAACAGAAATTATATGTT